CTATCCATATTTAAAACGTTTATCAAATATTAATTAAATCCAAATAAAATGATCAATAACATGATCATTCTGTTGATACAAAAAGAAAGCTGTTAACGATTTCATTTATAAAGGCTTAAAATGTCCAATTTTGTTATTAGACTGTAAGTGATATTCGTTTCGGGATCTAAATTGATCACTCTTTATTGCTTTCTTTTATTAAAGTTTTATGAAATTGAAATAAGTTTAAGAAGCGAGAAGTTCGTTAGTTTATGAACATTTATCCAAACTCATCCAGTTCAGCTAACTCACCAATGAACCATCTCATCAGCTCAATACACAAGATATTGAAGATCTCAATAGTTCATCTACAACTATAGAACATCCGCCTCCCCCAGTGTCACAGTGGTATGTTTGCGGACTTACAACGCTAGAAACCCGGTTTCGATACCCGTGGTGGGCGACCCACATCCGTTTCTTTCTGATTTTGGGCCCGGCATGGCCAGGTGGTTAGGGCGCTCGACTCACAATCTGAGGGTCGTGGGTTCGAATCCCCGTCACACCAAACATGCTCGCCCTTTCAGCCGTGGGGGCGTTATAATATGACAATCAATCCCACTATTCGTTGGTAAAAGAGTAGCCCAAGAGTTGGCGGTAGGTGGTGATGACTAGCTGTCTTCCCTCTTACACTGCTAAATTAGGGACAGCTAGCGCAGATAACCTTCGTGTAGCTTTGCGCGAAATTCAAAACAAACGAACAAACAAATTTTCTAATTTTTATTTATGTTTTTAGGTAGTATGTTATCTCTTGCAAGATATAATTTTCTCTCCTTCGAGCTTGTCTTGACATACTATATCAACGCCGTAATGCCTTTCAGTCATCTAATGGTGTTTGTTTGTTTGTAATAAAGCACAAAGATATATATATATACCCAACGATTAATTTACACTGTTATTTGATTGTTACACTAATCACGCTTTAACACTAGAACAAAAATTCGAATACAGTCAGTTTCCCCCGTGTACTAGCCCCCCGATGGCTCAGTGGTAAGCTCGATAATTCAAACACTAAAATTCGGAGTTAGATCCTCGCAGTGGGCACAACACAGCGAAATCATCGTATAGCTTCGTGCTTATCAACAAACACTCGTGAAATTTACATGATAAATTTCAAAATTATAGACTGAAGTTGAATTTTACGCGTATGTGCGTGATTTGACACAGAACTAGTGATCGTAATTATAATTGCTTCTAATCCTATTTACTCGATTTGATTACAAAAAATTAACTCCAACGGTGGGATAAAAAGTTTAATTATTATGGTACTTAATATAAAAAAAAAGACAGGAAAGACGTTAGTAAGTTATCACTAGTTCACCACCATTTTGTTATGTTACGTACCTGATTATTGACTGCTTGCTGCTTGATATGCCACGATGTAATGAAGTATTGGGTTATCGCCACCAAATAAATTATTTAAATAAAATAATCTCCAGTTCATCATAAAAAAAAAATCGAATATCAAAATTTTGGGTGAAACTTAATTATCAACACAAACGCAAGCCTAAGTTTTCTTTACACTATCTGTAGCCACTTGTTCGCAGGAAATTGCTAAAGGAATTTACAGATCAATCAGTCTCTCTGTCTTTGTACACAAGTGATCTTGTGTACCAGTGTCAACTTCATCTTTATCTTCTTGAACTCACACCTCATATAATGTTTCCCCGTCACTTAGGGAGTGTATCTTTAGAACTTCAGATTTCATCTGGAAACAGACTAGTGTTTGTTATTCTTATATAAATAAAATACAATGAAGACGTAAAAAAAAAAATTGCGAGTTAATTAATCTAAACGTACTGCGCCGTCTTTTTTTTATTTTTGTAAATTCAAAAAAAGAAAACTTATTAAGGTTGCAAGTTTTGTTCAACTTCATTATCTAGGAAAATCGCTGCCGATTTATTTTTAAAACACCTTCGTTATCAAGTTTCTAAGATACAAAAATACAAGTGCTGTAATAGACTAACGAAGGCTATATTTTATGTAAACGAAAAAATGAAAACTATTTTTATTGAACAAACAAGAATAATCCCTTGTTTTTTTAATAATAGTTTAGAATTATTCGATAAATTCATTCTGGCAAGTATGAACCGATAACACCAAGCGTGTATACTTAAGTAATTTTGTGTGTGTGTGTATGTGTGGTACCAACATCGCAATATTTTGAAGCTACACATAACAGGAAATGAATCAGAAGACAGCTTCCGGGCATGGTCTTCCAAGGTGATAAACAAAAGTCTCCTAGGAAGGAGACTATCACGTTGATGTGCCAACAACTACACATATCTACAGCTCTTTCTCGACGTTTGCACGACATTGTAAGGCATTGTGGTTTAGCAATGGTCGTGTTATTTTATACGGAAATAGACTGTAGCTGTAGATGTCTCTGAAACGAAGTTTAATTGATATGGTATAAACATCCATGCTAATTAGGACTTTTTTTTATTACGCATGCGTATAACTTTCATTTTTTTTTGTCTGCGCCCCTAATACGTTATTTTATTTTAGAATATAGACTTCTTAAAAACACAAAAATTAATATTTTTAGATGATCAGTTTTGATGTGATGATAGATTGTTTATTGTTGTTAAGCACAAAGCTACATAATGGGCTATCTGTGCTGTGCCTACCACAAGTATCGAAACCCAGTTTTTAGCGTTATAAGCTTTCAGACTTACTGCTGAGCCAGTGGGGAGGGGGCGTTAAATAGTTTGTTTATTTGAAGTTAAACATAAAGCAACACAATGGGCTATCTGTGGTCTGCCCACCACGGGTATCGAAACCCGGAGTCTAACGTTGTGAGTCCACAGACATACCGCTGTGCCACTGGAGGGGCGTTAAATAGATGAATGATAGTGAAATCTAATTATGCCTGTATATAAATAGATAGATAAGCATGTAAAAATACAAAGTATCTGTTCTTGCTATGTAATGATAAATAAAGTTCGAAAGACGAACTGGGAAGCAAACATAAAGAAAACAGAACGTGGATAACGAGTGCGATCAAAGAACAAATAGGGAAATGACACGTACAAACAAGAGGTATAAAAACCGACGTAAAGATAGACAGAGAGACATTTCAGACACAGTTAAAGAAACAGAGAGAGAGAGATGTATAAGCAGACATAGAAGAAACAGACACTGCTCTACATTATAAAACACATACGAAATTTATTACAGGATCAAAAAACAAGTGGCGTATATGAAGGGAAAATCTTTCATTACTGAACAGTCACGCCATCAGCGCTGACCACACCCCACAGCACGTGCTCTGCTGTAATGAGCGCGCATGCAGAGTTCAAGTACGGTTTCTAATATATAATTTGAAATTGGTTTGGGAAGTACATTATGTTTAAACAGAGCCCAATCACAACAGCAACAGAGGGAGGGATTTCTCTAATAAACCATGGAAGCACACTCCTCAAGAGACCTTACACATACAAAATACTTGGGTATAGACATATACATATATACATTGACAAAACAGTATCAAGCCCACACACGTGTACGAATACACATAGAAACAAACATACCTCACAAACAGTAACAATGGGGCACAAACAAACATATATATATATATATATGAGGATCAATTTTGATAGACGTTTGCGTGTGAGGTTCTGGGGAACAATTCCCTAGTCTCAACACGAAACGCTTCGCGAGTAAATAAATGGCTCTATGTATACAGGTGCATCCTTGCATTTTAAAGTTATCCATACTTTTTAATCGATGGTGACTTTTATTTGAAGCTCTATGCAGAAGATACAAACACTTGTTACATTTTTCTAAAAAAAGTAATTACATATAAACAGTATACTTGTTTCTATATGAATACCAAATGTATATTTGAAGATAATTGTATGTTATCCTTTTTAAAGAGTTAGCTTATGCATTGTGATGCCCAAAGGGTTAAATAATGTGACTGAATGTATACTGTATTAACAAGAAACTGACATCCTAGGAGATTTGTTTATGTGTAACTATCCAACTCCTGATAGAATGTGTAACTGTTGGTTAAGTGTTGTGGTCTTCTCGACAAGTGATTCGTTTATGTTTCAAACACTTGGTTATATCCGAAAACAAAGTTCTTTGGATAATAAATCATTTTATAATAGACACTCGAGATTAGTAAGCATGCGTTTAAAGAGACAAGTAGTCCAGATATTTATTTGTCAAAATACATGACAAAGTATATCAGTTCATAAAGTACAAACTTCAGTTTATTTAGTTTCCTTATCAACATGTGATATAATGTATGCTGTTAGCAGTGCGTACCGCACACAGATCATACCCATATCCCAACATTAGTTAGTGTCCATGAAATCCTTATATGTCTGAGTTTTTTTAAGCAGGCAGTGCGTACCGCACACAGATCATACCCATATCCTAACATTAGTGTCCATGAAATCCTTATATGTCCGAGTTTTTTTTTAAGCAGGCAGTGTACCGTTGGAAACTCAGATTTCCCAAGATAACATTTAAGTGAGTTAGTTTATTATTCAGATTTTACATACTAACAAATAAAAAGAAAGCAGTTATAGTATTTAAAGTTTTACAATCGTAAAAATTCTTATTTTTAACCTCGATTATGCTTCTCTACACTGTAATGACTTTAGTGTAAAAAGGTTGTCTTTAAAATGGTTTCTACTACTCTATGAAGTTGGCTGTTACGAAGGGCTTAAACGTGTATGTGCATGTTTAATATCCTTTACACTAAGAGCTTATTGTCATAAAGGAGTCTCTAAACTTTCAACAATGAAGAAATTAGTCCATCTTAGACATATCTAGTTTAAATCCATTACTTTCCGAGATCCACTACTAAAACTACGGTGAATCCATATGTACATTTAACACATAATAATTCGACCTTGTAAAGCTTATAACATTTTACGTATAAAGCTAGGTGCAGTTTATAATAAAAAACGAAAAAATACAGAAATTAGAGAGATAAAACACACACACACCTCTTCACATGTCCATATGCGGACACTTGTTCACTCACATGTACACCGCAAACCTGTAAATGCACACGACACTGAGAATGTAGCAATGGCAGATAGTCCTACTTACTCCGCATGTTTGAATATATCACTACGCTATCGTGTAAGAAAAGGTAAAAAAAAAAGAGCGATTATATAATATCTGCGTTTATAACGGAAATTAATATCATCTATAAAATACTGCTTGATATAGTATTACGATGTTTCAGGTGAACAGTCACTGAGTTAAGAAATGTTCGAACAGCACAAGAGCTAAACAACTTATGGCAACAGACAGTTGTTGAATGTTAGTGGACGGTTGACTACCGAACACTGAAACATTTCTTCACAGCGTTGGTAAAATATAGCACTGAGCATAGGATTTGTTCTACGTTTTGTGAAACCTATAAAAAAAACAAAAAATACAAAATCAGTACATTGTCGCTATCCAGTAAGCCCATACATCGTGATAATCGTGTCTTAAGTTCCTCATTATATTTTAACATTTTTTATCTAAGCCTCTCTTCACTCATCAAAATATGGTTTTACACCAAATGTCCGTATTCTTAGAAGCCTTTTTTTATCGCTAAATGAATAAATCCGTGATGTGTACATTTAAACATACCTCATGGACTCTTCTCATTACACGGAAAAAATCAAGTGCTTATAACCAATGCAGGAAACTCGTTATTAATTATGAAACGTACAGAGATTAAGGGCTAGTCTACATTCTTGGAGAGCAAGTTAATTTTAGTTTGTACTATGTATAAAATGAGCCTTCTTGATTGAAAAGTTACCCATGTTACTAATTAAACACAATCACATACTCGTGTACATGTACACATCACACTAAAGTTCAATCAGTAACATATAACAATTACTAGCGGAAGTGTTACACCGTGTTACGTCATATTTATTAACGTTTCACTATATGAAATTGTCTCTGCTTATGAACGAGCTCTATATTTAGTTAAATGACTAATTGTTGCTTATATTAACGAGCAGAACTCTGACAGTAAGCTATTTAAATAAACTGCTAAGTGACTTTTCCGTATCTGATGTAAGTGGAAGCTAACCCTTCATTTAAATAAAGCGACTTCTCCGTATCTGATGTAAGTGGAAGCTAACCCTTCATTTAAATAAATTGCCAAGCGACTTCTCCGTACATGATATGACTATAAGATAACCCTTCATTTAAATAAATTGCCAAGCGACTTCTCCGTACATGATATGATTGTAAGATAACCCTCATTTCTATAAGAGGCGAAGCGACTTTTTCATATTACAACACGTTTATCCAAGTGTACTTTAACTGCCTAGTCTATACTTATTTCTAGTCTACATTAATTTTTAATAATTGGGCCTAAATATATATATATATATATATATATTACAATAGTGAAACGCATACAAATATATTTATGTTTGGACATGTGACCAATAGCTTTTTTTTCCTCAAAAGTTGAATATGAAACTGTATTTTCTCAAAAATGCAAGATATTTAATTATTTTATAGTTTTGTTTTACCGGTTAAGGAAAACAAATGATATACTAAACAAAAAAGTGTTTCAACTTAGAGCAGAAACTATGAAGATTACCTGTTGACCATTTCCAAACTATAGGATTGTTTAACAGCTGCTTATATCATAAGTACACAGACACAAAAAGATTATGCACACCTACCAAATGTACAATACATTTATTAGGCTTAACTGTTTTAGAAATCGGATTAATCCTCTTGTTTTTTCAGCGGACCAGTAACAAAAATCTATTACTCCACCAATTACCCAAGGCAACAGCATGCCGACACAATGTGATCAGAATGTCAGTGTTCCGCCCGCAAGTCTAACGAATAATTCGTAAAAAAAAAAATGGAATGGGCAATAATTAGAATAATTCTCAAATTAAAAAAATTACTATTAGTTTGTCATTTGTAATAAATCAATAACGGATTATTTATAAAAACCATACAAATGTATCATGGTCTTGTGATGTCGTTATTCGTAGTTAGCCTATTAGTTTGTAGAATAAAAGACAAATAAATATCGGATTAATTTAATACACATATATCTGTTTATTTTCGATCAACCCAATAAATGAGGAGATGGCCCCTTTGAAGGACAGGAAACAGATGGAAATACTAAGACCATGAGATAGTGTGATGGAGAGCTTGCCTGCAATCGTACTGCGAGGCCTGTGCGTTACAAGTTCTTCATCCCATACGATTACAAAAGGACAAGGCAGTAGACAAAAGTGACCAAGCCGCTGTACAGGCAATCATAAATTTATTGCATGAACAAAATAAAAAAAGGAAAAATTAACTTGACCTAGAAAACTAGAAAAAATTACGCTATGAAACTCCAGACACAACTTTGGTAATTATCTCCATAAATCAGTTTTACTTGTATCGGTCTAATATTCACCAAGTGTTATCCTAAAATCATGTTACGAAAAACAAATACGATACAACGGATATTACTTAACATCCACAAGGCAGTATAACAAGCTAATATTAATATGCAGTATTGTGTAAACGACGCGTTAAGGTCGAGATGAGTAAACGTTTAAGAAACAATTTGTCAGATGTGTCTCGTTACATCCATTTTTGTTTATGCCTTACAAAAGCATTCGCTTGGTTGCCGACAGTGAACGGGAAGTAATTCTTGTACGTCTACGTTGTTTCTCCTCAGGTTGGGGTCTGGAAGTTTCAATCATCGAATAAACTAAAAGTTGCAAATGATACGCGTGGACTAACTGACAAGCAACGGCCTTGTCGGACTGGGCCCCCTTGCTATCTTGTGTCGGTAGATTTTCTTAATGAAAGAAGACGCTACCGAAAGAAAAGATACTGGCGTATTCATCTAGAAGGCTTACCTTTAAAGGACCGCCAGGCCCCCACTTCTTTCCCGTGCTTCGCTTCGTGCACGTAAGGAATCTCTGTAAATAGGGCTCTTGACTTATATTATCACCTGTTAAATACATAATTCAAAACCTTAAAGGCTTATCTTAAATGCAAGAGAAACAACAAAAGCATTTGAGCAATTAAACACTACACTCAAAAAGGATAATCTATGATCATTATAACTGCGTTATGTTTATCATGCTTTAATTTCTAGCACAGATGTGTTAACCAAACAACTTTTGGAAGTTTGAACTGAGTGGTAAAAGAGTTTAATTTACTGCAAAACTTCAGCACCAAACATTTTATTCTGTGTCGAAACCAGAATTTGAGACTAAAATAATTAATATTAAAATACAAGGAAAATGTCCGATTGAATGTACTCCAAACTTTAAAACACACATTTTTTTAAAGATTCTACACTAATGAGCCCAGGTATTGTTCGAAAGGCCTCGTCGGCACTGGATATGGCAATTATAGTGTGGTTGACATGTTAGTACATATTCTTTGTTTACAGTTATAAGTTCTTAGAATTATTACCAAAGTGTTTTTTCAGTTCTTTGAAAATTGGAAATTTGTTTTGAATTAAAAAGTTATATAAGTTATTGATTGTATATATTTATGCGTTTGCTATCGATATGTTTTATTTTTATTTCTTTATTTATTGGTCGAGATTGAGATCAGATTTACATGAGATGAGATTGAGAAAGAAATATAAAATGAAATAGTTTGATCAAAAGATCTGTTAAAACAAAATTTAAAATAAATAATTAAATAAAGCCAAGAAGGAAATATAAAACAAGCTTTTGCCTTAACATGGAAACTTTTTCTCTTCATTTTTTCCGAGGTAACCACTACATCATCCAACCAAGAATATGGCAGTTTAAAGATTACCACAACTCGCTTGCCACCTGGACAGCTGTGATTTAAGACTGCTTAATTTGATAAGAAACCTGCATTGATTTAATGGGTGGTCTCCCCAGTGGCCGCGCGCACGATACAGCTCCTTGTAAGCTTTTATCTATGTTTTAAATGGGTAAATGATAACTTTCCCATGTCTTTGTATATTAATACGTGCCAGAATTCCACTGATGTATTTTCTTTCAAGCATTACTTCTATATAACTCCACGTGCGCCTCTTACTGCTGTCCTGATTGGATACACAGCTTACTTTAGAATAATAAAGAATAGAGAAAACTTATACGACTTTTTGATACACTGCTACGTAATATTTATCTTACATCAAAGACATATTTGTGGAGTGTAACACAGAATCCGGCCACTTTCATTCGATTCAATCTCATATCAAAAACAAAACAACAACGGTTTATAAGAATATATATCGCCTTTACGTAATTATGTACACTAGTATCATAAATACACCATTCGTGCCCATTAAAATAAGAATTTGTTATAAGTAAGATTATTTTGTTCCACCAATCTGTAATTTTATGGATATTGAATCTTCACTGAATTTCATCTCTTGAAAAATGGGAAAAAAGGTATATTTACAAGTCAGCGATAAGTCTGAGAGATTATAAAGCTAAAATTCAGGTTTCAATATTCGCGGTGGGCACAGAACAGATAGCCCATTGTGTAGATTTGCATTTGCCAACCATTGCTATATATTTTATGGATCTATATGTGTAACCTTTGACACTTACAAACGATTGTGATGAAAAGTTTTCAACACTATTGCTGTAAGAAGTGTATCACTTACTCAGCAATGAATAATACTTTCATAAACACAACTTTAAAAATCTTGTTACTATAGCTCCTGTTTCTTTAACACAAGTAAGTTGAGTACGTAATCACTATACGTGGGCCGAGCCTGTATTTCATACGTAGACATTAAACGATCTTCTTGGTATTGCGATAAATGGAGCTCATTTTTCTTACTTACTGACAAGCAGGCTTAACAATATTTGTTCATTATATACAAAATAATGAAATGTTTTCTTTATGCTGTAAGCAATAACCAAATATACTTTCTCTATTTTACAAATAAAAATCTCAAACTGACACTTATACAATGAACTTTCGGATTGCTTTGAATTTACAAAACTACTGATTCCATGTTTAAAAGCCTTAGACCAACACTTCTGTAACTATCGGTTAACTGTAGCTGCTAATTCACCCACATCCAATGTTACAGTCCCAAGAACAACCGCCATTCGAAGTTAGGTCTTTTGTTTAGGACTTACCGACTTACAATGCTAAACTCCTGTGTTCGATTCCCTTCGGTGTACAGATAGCCCACTGTATAGGTTTGCACTAAGCAAACAACAACAACAACAACTTTAGCTTGGAAGGGTAAGACTACACAATTCACTTGCCTAAATTTGAGTCTCGTCATATATGTTACATCTATTTTAGTATTAACAAAATGAGTATGTTATGCGAAATTATTGCAAGACGTTTTACAATTTCATCTCCATTTTGCAAAACGTTATTCTCAGCCCTCTTCAGCATAGTAACGGAAGAGTGTTAATCCTGTTTCGATCATTCATAGATTAACGCATTAACAATAAGACAACAAGATAGTACTTCGTTAATATAAAGATGGAAAAACTGCTTACATAGTGACGTCACATGGGGTATCCAGTCAGTTGTGTCCTAATGTCCGGCAACCTAAGCTATACAACTACTGAATTCTAGATGCCAAATATGTCATTTAAAACGATGTACAAATGCTAAAACAATGAAGGACTATATGATGCAAACTAAATTTTATCTTACTTATTACCATCCATAAATATGACGCTAAAGGACGCTTTTAATACGATTACCCAAGCACAATAAAAAACAATAATAGATAATCAGTTAACAAGTTAAACAATGAACACTGAACATCAGAAATGCCAACACGGCCAAGAACTACGATTCAAACTCTTACCAAAGACTTGGCTTTACTTTCTGTATATCCGAAACGCTGAGGTACTATACCAGAACAAACTGCTATGAAGCGCCCTCATTAGTACCTTCTTATTGGTCGGCCGGGCGACTTTCTTGCATTCAAGAATCGTTAGTGCAGAGAAACCCCGAGGCGAGCTTATACCGTGGAGAGCAGATAACGCCTTCCGGCGTGCGCTTGCTACAGTTTTAAGCCTGCTCACACGATCTACGGAGTCAAATCCTCACTGTCGGAAAACATGATAGCACCATACTGTGGCTCACCTAATGGGATCGGCGACTGTCGGGTCTGGCCTTTGTATCTGATATCAGTATATTGGTTTGAATACAGGAAGGAGAAACGTTTTCGAAGCATTAAACCGACTCTCAAAACGCATCTCCAATCTCATTGACATTACATTAGTCCGGGGTCGTCTAAGGTCAGAATCAACTATTCTGGTCCACTTTAACATTTGTGGAGCTCATCTTTTACTTTTTATAATACGAAAGAACAAAATGATGAGCTGTTTGATGGGCGAACTAAATATCTCGTTAGAATTAAAACACTGATGAGCAGTCTAAGTGCAAGGAAAGTTGATACCATTGTATTTACTGAATCACTATATGTATATATATATAAACATATAACGGTAGAAAACAAAGAATTCACACCAGTCAACTCAGCTGTTAGATGGACATCATAATTAATACGCTGGTGAACAGTAAGTGTACCAAAATTATAAAGGAGTTGTTTGTTCTAAACTGTCAATCAGACAACTTCTTCTACAAAATACTCTGAGGTCACCAAAACTACATTGTAGATGACGACCGCATGTGCTTTTTTTTGTGAGTTATTACGAATATTCCATTATACCATCCTTGTGACGTCAGCGCAAGAACTTTTAGAAATAACATCAAAGAGCATTGGCTCTGACTGTTTGAGTTATTATATTTTAAAGATGTGATTAATCAGTATTGCTTATGGCCCTGAAAACCGAGAGAAATACTATTATATGTAATTCTAAAAGATGTGAAATACAACAATTTCTATACGTTAAATATATATACACGTTAAATAAATATATACGTTAAATATACGTTAAATATATACACTAACCGTACTTGATGTTTTAATTACTAAACATAAGAAATTAGTTCTATGTCGAACTCTCATTTTTTGATTTGAAAGCATCTGACTTGACAATATGGTTTGTGATCTTATTCTAACTTGACAGCATCTTGACATGGTTTATGATGTTATATAAACTTGACAATATGGTTTATGATCTTATTCTAACTTGACAGCATGGTTTATGATGTTATTTAAACTTGACAACATGGTTTATGATGTTATATAAACTTGACAACGTGTTTTGTGATCTTATTCTAACTTGACAGCATGGTTTATGATGTTATTTAAACTTGACAACATGGCTTATGATGTTATATAAACTTGACAATATGGTTTATGATCTTATTCTAACTTGAAAGCATGGTTTATGATGTTATTTAAACTTGGCAACATGGCTTATGATGTTATTAAACTTGACAACATGGTTCATGATGTTATTTAAACTGGACAACATGGTTTATGGTGCTATTTGAATTTGACAACATGGTTTATGATGTTATTTAAAGTTGACAACATGGTTTATGATATTATATAAACTTGACAACATGGCTTATGGTATTAATTAAACTTGACAACATGGTTTATGACGTTATATAAACTTGACAACGTGGATTATGGTGTTAATTAAACTTGACAACATGGTTTATGACGTTATATAAACTTGACAACATGGATTATATATTTATGTTATTTATAATCATTCTCGAGCTTTCAGACAGAAAACAACAACATTTAACAATCAAACTGATCAAAACAGTAGACAGTGAACACCTTTACTCAGGCTACTGCTACAATAACTGATCAATATAATAAACAGTGAACACCCTTACTCATGTTGTTGCTACATTAAGTGATCAATATAATTGATAGAGAACACCCTTACTCAGGTTGTTGCTACAATAACTGCTCAAAATAACAAACAGTGAACAGCCTTACTCAGGCTAGTCTCACGTTGGCACAGCGATAAGTTTATAGACTTACAACACTAGAATTCGGGGTTCGATTCCCGCGGTAGACACAGCAGATAGTCCAATGCAGCTTTGCTGTTTTACAAATAAACAAATACTCAGGCAATTGCTACAACAGCTGATCAAAATAATAGATAGTGACCGCCCTTAACCAGGCCACCATTACTATCACAAGAGTTGGTAAAACTAACCAACTCACAGACGAACACTCCTACCATCAATTGTTTGTTATTAAGCACAAAACTACACAATGAGCTAGCTAACTGTGCTTTGCCCAGCGCGAGTATCGAAAGGCGAATTTTGACGTTGTAAACTGTGAAACTTAACACTGAGCCACCACGGGGTACTTACCATCAAAAGTGGCCGAAAACGTCGGTTAACACTCTTACCTAAGCCATTGCCACACAACCAACTTACTGATAATAAAAACAAACAGGAACACGTTGTCACCTTCTAGGTGATTAGTGAGAAGTAAACTGCACGTCAGAATTACGTCAGAACTAAAATTACAAGTTCTTCTAGTATTATACCCAAGGTAAATCACAGTAGTGGTTCATGAAAACGTGAGTGACGGAAATAGGGTGTGGCGTTAAAATCAACAGTTAGTACGGTATACAATCAACAGTTAGTACCGTATATAATCAACAGTCAGTAAGGAATACAATCAACAGTTAGTAAGGTATATAACCAACAGTTAGTACGGTATACAATCATCATATAAGCGTAACAATGACACGTACACAGACTCAGGATATTCTATCGTTAGACTAGTACTGTAAATACAAAACCTTTTCCAAATTGATAACAAGTAAAAGAAGAAAAAGGTTAAGCCTTATGAAAGTGATTAGCTTGACCAAGTTGATTAAAAAATCATTATTTGTTTTATATGTGATAAGTTTATACTTTAGTAATACCCTCGACCTTATTCAGAATTTCAGGATACCTTAGAAGCAACATTGGTTATCTATGGTTATTACCACTCCTTCATAAAATTCTAAAACACACACACACTATATATATATATATATAACCCTGCAATAATACAGGAACGTGTCTGAATGTTCCTTGAATATGAGGGTAAACCATGCGATGTTGGTCACACTCAAGGACACAAGGCTTAAATTTTGCTTTTCTGTTTGTATGTCTGTCGAAAATACTGGATATCGCTCGTATGTCATCATTCCTAACACTGGACACATCGAAAAGCTCAAGGATTATGAACAAGATGCGTAAATCTTCGCTTGTCTGAAATGATTAAGTTATTTAATGATCGAATTTAACAGTACAAATACCACAATGTAAACAAGAGAAAATGCGTGTAATCACGTTTTATTCGTCGAGTGGGATTTCGCCCGAAAATGTCGTTAACAGCGGGGATACTCTACTGATGAAATAATGTATTATACACTTTATAAGTAGAAACGTAAGAAAAGTATATTTAATTAGCTATAATGATGACCAGGTTGATTGATGCTGAATTTCACTCAAGGTACATAGCTTACTTACTCTGATCGGAAGATATTATTATTAACCCATAACTTAAAGCAGATAATCTCAAGTCTAATCTGTCAGTGGAAACAGACAACTTTTAATGAGGAATCCAATCTTTCATTTGAAGCAAATAGTTTTTGACGATGAGAGTAATCTTTCAATTGAAGCAAACATCCTTTGGCAGTAAATTTGATCTATTATTTGAAATACATAATAATTAATTACTAGGATCAGATAAATTTTGCGAGCGTGAACTCTCACTTGAAGCAGGTAATTTTTGGTAGCTAGTGTAACCACTTACTTGGAGTAAATGAACTTTAATCGTGAGTGTAACCACTTACTTGGAGTAAATGAACTTTAATCGTGAGTGTAACCACTTACTTGGAGTAAATGAACTTTAATCGTGAGTGTAACCACTTACTTCGACAAGTAAGTTTTGTTAGGGAATTTAATCACTTACTTCGACAAGTAAGTTTTGTTGGTGAGTTTAATCACTTACTTCAATAAGTAAGTTTTGTTAGGGAGTTTAATCACTTACTTCGACAAGTAAGTTTTGTTAGTGAGTTTAATCACTTACTTCGACAAGTAAGTTTTGTTAGTGAGTTTAATCACTTACTTCGATAAATATGTTTTGTTAGTGAGTTTAATCACTTACTTCAATAAGTAAGTTTTGTTAGTGACTCCCCTAACAAAACCTACTAACTCGAAGTAGCTGATTACACTCACTAACAAAACTTACTTATAGAAGTAAGTGATTACACTCCCTAACAAAACATATTTATCGAAGTAAGTGATTAAACTCACTAACAAAACTTACTTATTGAAGTAAGTGATTAAACTCACTAACAAAACATATTTATCGAAGTAAGTGATTAAACTGTAATCAGTTACTTCGAGTTAGTAGGTTTTGTTAGGGGAGTGTAATCAGTTACTTCGAGTTAGTAGGTTTTGTTAGGGGAGTGTAATCAGTTACTTCGAGTTAGTAGGTTTTGTTAGGGGAGTGTAATCAGTTACTTCAAGTAAGTAAGCTTTAGTAGTGAGTGTACTCTTACTTATGGTAACGTGGAGCAGATCATCTTTTTTGGTAAGTATAAGATCACTTTATGAATTTTGAAGCATTTTCTTAAACAAGAAAATTTACAGGCTTAATAAACATTGATGACTCAACTTATAGGCTGTGTTTAAAATAATGTGTATTATACATAAAAGTTATTCAGAACAACAACATGATTTATTCTAGTAATTTTGATTATTTGAAACTTAAGGGCCCTTAAATTAGTAATCTTACTAGCTTTCGGACTTCTCCAGAGTTCATCATTAGGTAAAATTAAAAAGCATAATAAAACACTTCTACTATTTCAATTATTTGTTAACTCTTTGTATTAAAAGACACAAGATTA